AAAACTAGGGTACCTTATTTTGGGGGTCCTTATAATAAGGATCCTGCTATTTAGAGTACTATATTAGGGTCCCCTATTTTAGGAAACCCCCATATTGGCCTTCGGACCGAGGTGGGAACGCTCACACTTGGACGAGCAACGTTCCGCCGCTGTTGCAACGGGGTTGCCGGCCTCGAATAGGGTTTTGGGATAGCTGATACAAGTACCTATAACTACGGTTTAGGGTTTAGGGCTTCGGGATCTGGGTAAGCGAAGCAAATCAGCTAGCCCAGCGCATGGAGATCGTGCACTATTTTGTCTCTCGACGAGCCGTTTCTATCTGCCGGCTGCCTTCTCAGGCGGCATCTGGCCAAAATTGTACTTGCCATGGAAAATAGCAGACTCCTTTTAAAATTGTTGCGACGCACCGAACAGCCGCCCGCTGGGGTAGCGCCGCTTGGGAGTTCGCAGGATTGGCATGGAAAGGGCACTGCTAGAGACAGTTGGAGTTCACGTCGGTGAAAGCATTCCAGAGGTCTATGGCGGCTGGGATCAACAACGCAATCTTGATGACGGTGGCTGCTCCGCCTGTGACGAACATGAGACCAACCTGGGCGGCGAACTGCGTAAGCATCACGCCGAATTGGAACCAACCGATGCCTTCTATGGCAGCCTCGAACATATCCTCTAGGACACCTTCGTCCCAGAGGACCTTGGCCCCTTTCCAGGCATCGTTGGCATTGTCCCGCGCAGGCCGGTTCACCCGGAGCTTTTTCCAGTGTGTCCAGACCTTCTGAAGCGCGGTTGGGTCGTCCAAGTACTTCTTCAGCACAGTCTTGGAAGGCCCCTTTCCTGATTTAGGAGGCTTGAGACCCATGACGTCGAACATCAAGAACGCAACCTCCACTCCAGCGCCAGCCAGTGACGTGATGCACTCGGGCCGGTTGGTGCCACGACGTCGACGACGGTGCGCGCGACGCCGACGCCGGCGCCGGCGGCGACTTGACTCCGAGCCTTCGGACGACAACGAGGATTCGGACGCTCCCGCCTCAAGCAAATCAACTTCGTTGTAAGCTTCGTCGTCGTCCTCCTCAGATTCATCCTCCTGGTCCAACCCGCCGTCATCCGAGCCCTCGGACTCTTCAAAATCCTCTTCCTCTTCCGGGTCTTCTTCGTCCGCAGGCTTCCAGACCACAGGGGTCTTCTCGGAGTAGATGGGGTGACCCGCCGGAGGGTAGATGCCCTTGATCAGGAAATCCTTGATCTCCCTCTCGTACTGCTCGAGCTTCGGGGCATAGTCAGGGAACATCGAACAGCAATCTCCAAGAACCAGGCTGGCCCAATTTTCCAGGAAGCTGTCGTGGCTGGAAAAGAACTGAGGCTGCGCCTGGGAGACATTCTGTCGACGTGCCAATTGCGTGAGAGCGCTCTCCTCACACCCGGAGTCCGATGAGCAACTCTCCGACAAGTCGGTGCCAACTGCCTGCCCCAATATCCCGAAGACGAGGAAAAGGCACCTCATGAGGCCGAAGTCCTGGCTGAGCAGCAGGGGCCCTTTAAAACCGAGTCCAAAGCTCTTGAGCCACAAGAATCATCGCCGCTTCTCCCATGGAAACTTCGGGTTGCGGTGCATTCAAGGGTTGCCGGCCTCGAATAGGGTTTTGGGATAGCTGATACAAGTACCTATAACTACGGTTTAGGGTTTAGGGCTTAGGGATCTGGGTAAGCGAAGCAAATCAGCTAGCCCGGCGCATGGAGATCGTGCACTATTTTGNNGACCCTAATTTAGAGGACTACCCATAAGAAGGCGCTGAAGAAGACTCTCCGACGAGAGCGACGCCTGTTTTGGAGGTTCCCGCGGCCCAAGGCCTGCGTGGGTACTACACAATCATCCACGAGAATATACCATAGTGTACTAAATCTATCACAATGTATCACACTGTACTATAAGATATCATACATCTTAATGCATCACAACATGCCACAACATTTCACAATATACCGTAATATAGCATAAAGTATCATAGAATACACGATCCTTCACCATAAGATCCTCTAATACACTCTCTTCTGGGCACACCCAGAAGAGGCCTCGCTGCATGGCCACATAGAGACCCCGGCCGGGCTGGCCGTCGTCCTTCGGAAGCTCTACATTTTAGTGTGCTATTGTATATTATGATCTACTGGAGTATATTATAGTACGCTTTAGGAGTATTATGGTACATTAATGTGTTTTACAGTTGTAGGAAAGTCATAAAGCACCCTTGCACGAAGCTCGAGACGACCAGCAAAAGCGTTTTCTCGGTCCTGCTGGGCCAAGGCAGCACCAGAACAAGCCTCAGCGAGTCTCAGCTACTTGGAGGATCATGGGA